CAAGGTTGAACCACTTTCTGAGCAGTCAGTAAACATCTCAAAAGTTTCATGGAATGTTATTAACAAAATTTACTAAATAAGTGACAAAATTCTTCTTAGCTAACTACTACACATTTTGTAATAAAATGCCTATTAATATGTAAAAGGACTTCTTTCATCTATGACAAATAAATCTTTGTACAAAATTCACATAAAAATGTAGGAAGTAATGAAGGTTAACTCCCTCTTTAAAGATTTATATATGATTGTTAAAAATACCTGTTTGTCAGAGATTTTCTTCCTACTCCTACGACATAACATCTCACTTGGCAGTAACCTCATCTCTCATGACTATTTTATTCGTGTAGTATAAGAGCTATTTTGCCACTATTTGAACATCTGTAGTTTTCCTCCAATAATAAGCCTTTTCTCTGTTCTCTAGCCTCAGCTCTTCGTCTGATTTTCTAGGCTTCTTCCTTCCTTCGTCTTGTTTATATGTATACTAGGGACTGAACCCATGGTTGTTGTTCTACTAAAATGCATCCCAGCTACCAGCTCCCCCTTCTTCATCCCAGTTCCATTTATTTTTAATCAGAGTTTTGCTAAGTTGCAGAGGTTAGCCTTGATCTTGAGATCCTCTTGCCTTAGCCTTCCCATTGGCTGAAATTACAGGTGTATGACACCGCACCCAGTACCTTTCTCAATTAATAATCTTACTCAGAGACCAGTCCCAGTAATCCTGGTTATTGTCTAATACCAGGGTTCTCTTTAAACTAAAAACCCAGTATCCCAGAAAATTAGAATTCACAAATTAAAAGACTTCAAATCCTAAAAGGCTTATTTAACTTTAAACTGTAATATGCTCATCTACAGGCAACTTCCAGGACACAACAAACAAGTAACAGTGAAAAATTTAAGCCACTCCTTAAACATACAGATTTTATTCATAGATAGCTGTTCACAGGCTATAATTTTAAGTTACATATACACCTAACAATTTCTATGAACCAAACAGTTTTGGTAAAACTATACAAAACAATTAAATATCTCAATGTCACAGAATTGTACAAATAGCACAACTGATGGGCACACCAGGGGTAATCTGGTTGACTGTCGCTATTGGTCTCTTTTTCAGGAAGACACGTGCAACAGGGGAACTAAATACATAAATGATTTGGTTTTTTTGGTACTAGGGATTGAACTCAGGGGCACTTGACCACTGAGCCACATCCCCAGCCCTATTTTGTACTCTGTTTAGAGACACTGAGGCTGGCTTTAAACTTGCTATCTTCCTGTCTCAGCCTACTGAGCCACTGGGATTACAGGCATGCACCACTGCACCCAGCAGGGAACTAGATTATAAACACCACTGGGTAAATTCAGCTCTAAACCATTCCCTCCCTTCCTCAAAAAATATTACAGAAATAAAAGCAATGCCAGTTTTTAAATTTCTAATTCCATAATTAATACAGAAAAATTGTGTGAGATTGCTTTTCCTTTACTGTTTACCCCCTTCCAGACAGGATCTTGCTATGTTGCTCAGAACAGTCCTAACTGTTCAAGTGATTCCCCTGCTTCAGTTTCCCAAGGGGCTAGGACAACAGAGACCACATACCTACCCCTTCTTTATTTTATTTTTTGTTGAGGGGGGGAGGTACTGGAAATTGAACTCAGGGACACTCAACCACTGAGCCACATCCCTAGCTCTATTTTGTATTTTATTTAGAGACAGGGTCTCACTGAGTTGCTTAGCATCTTGCTGTTGCTAAGACTGGCTTTGAGCCCACAATCCTCCTATCTCAGCCTTCCTAGCTGCTGGGATTACAGGTGTGTGCCACCACACCCAGGCCCCTTCCTTATTCTTAATCAACTTCTTCAGTTCAGTCTCTTCAGCAAAGTTTCTTAGCCACTTGAAACACCACTGAGTGCCTTTTAGGTATAGCTAACCTATGACTCTTGATGCCCAGTCCCTGAAAAACAAAAAACATTCCTTCCTTACAGAGGACAAGGAAGAGAAATAAACAAAATCTTTATTCTACTACCAAAGAAACTTTTCCACTTTTTTGCCCCATTTCCTTTTTATCCCCTTTTCTTCTGTTTCAACTCCCTTTCATCTCTTTTTATTCCCTCATTTCTGTTTTTTGCTTCTCTTTTTGATCTTAAAGTCCAGAATAATGCCCTTTCATGACAATAGAAAAGGATGTACAGCAAGGATTAGGAATCTAGTTAATACCAACAACAGTAGCTACTGTCAACATCAATAACAAAATCCACAAGGACTGCCAGGCATGTTGACTGGCACATTCCTGTTAATTTCAGAGAATCAAGAGGCTGAGGCAGAAAGACTGCAAATTCAAGTACCACAGCAATGTTGCAAAATCTCTGGCAAGACCCTGTCTCAAAATTTAAATAAATAAATAAAAATAAAAGGGGCTAGGGTGTAGCTCAGTAGTAATGCATCTATGGATTCAATCCCATGTACAAAATTAAAAAAAAAATCCTTGGGCTGGGGATGTGGCTCAAGCGGTAGCATGATCGCCTGGCATGTGTGCAGCCCAGGTTCGATCCTCAGCACCACATACAAACAAAGATGTTGTGTCTGCCAAAAACTAAAAAATGAATATTAAAATATTCTCTCTCTCTCTCTCTCTCTCAAAAAAAAAAATAAAAATCCAAAAGTATCCAAGAAATTATCCAATATCTACTGTGGATGAAATGCTGCGACAGGGCTAGGGATATAGCTCAGTGATGGAGTGTTTGATTAGCATGGTGTGCATACAAATCTAAGAAATACCGTAGCAGAAATAGTAAATAGTGGCCAGACCTAAAAATCTAGTTGAATGATCATGAAAAATGTGTGAAAGGAAAAACAAAATAAAGCAATTGGAAGACTAAAAATATAGACATACCTATACTGTTTAAGTACAGACCAAAGGAGGGCCCTGACCACTGTGACCTCGAGCTCTCAAGTAGCCTGACTCAGGGAAAAGTAGAAGCTAGACTCTGACGAAGTCCTAAGGGCATGAAAAGGTGAGGAGGTGAAGGGAAGGCTTTGGAGGGGCCTGACCATATCACAAGAAAGAGGAACATAAAATAGTAAATTTTATGTTATGTTTATTTTACCACAAGAGAAGAAAGAAGAGGAAGAGGAGGAGGAAAGACAGGTGTTTGAGGCCCCTCATGTTTCAAGTAGGCCAGAAAAGTTGGCACACAGATTTTTGGAGAGGGGGAAGGGACAGTACTGGGGATTGAACCCAGAGGCACTCTACCACTATGCCACATACTCAGCCCTTTTTATTTTTTATTCTGAGACAGAGTCTTCCTAAATTGCTGAGGCTAGAACTTATGATCCTGTTACCTAGCCTCCTGACTTGCTGGGATTACAAGAGTGCACCACTGTGTCCAGTGCAGAGATCTTGACAAACAATAACTGTGCATAAAATGGGAGACTCCTATTGACCTTGGTCAAATGACTCTATCCAATGTACATCCACAAACTCTCCAATTCCTTTTCCAATTTTAAATACCAATATTGTGTATAATCTCACAGTATGTTTAAAGCAAAGAAACTACTTGAACAAAAAGAAGAGGTGTACATGGTGAGAAAAGAAGAAACCTAATGCCTTTCTCTACTAGGGAAATGCCCTCCAAAAGTGGAACCCAGCATCTTTGCTATAATCATGGGACAAAAACTCCAGACCCAGAGTATCTCCAAGGGCTCTATTCATCAGTTTTCTGCTAAGCATAAGAGAGGACATCTTGCAATCATTTCTAGAAATGAATCACACATTTTAAAAAAAAGCTGTTTTCAGCTCCCAGTCAGTTGCTAACAATGCCTTAATTAACTAAATCCAAGGTATTTACCTTTGCTGATTATCTGAGGAAAAAATTTCTTAAACTAGAAAATAAAACAACTTTTTGCACAAATCATACACAGCACATATAGATATTTCCACTTAAACACAACGAAGAAAATTTATTTGATTGAAAGCATGCCACTGTGCCCTTCTAAGCTTCAAATTTGATCAGACAACAAAATCCACATAATAGTTGCTGAAGGAAGATCAGTGAAAACAATGAAGTAAGAGAAATGTTCCACCATTCACATGATGGCCAATGTTGGAGAAGGAAACAACCTGGCAAACTCTAAACTATAAAAAACACTGGCAACAATAACTGGCCTGAGGTGCAAGAGATCCAAATGTATGCTATGTTAAGTGCCAAGAAAATATAATCCTCGCTGGAATAACCAACTTTGTTCATTCTTCAAAATGTCAATATTAATACCCCTCCAAATCAATTTAAATACAAACCTACTTTATTCTTACAGTTGTTGCTTAAATCCCTTTCAATATCAGATAGTAGTCATCAGTATACAAAACCAGTGAGTTCATTAACCCAAAGGCACTGATTATTTAGAGCAAACCCAAAGGTTGTCAATATTCTCAAGACACTATCAAACAGTGTTAATCAGAGGATGGTAGCTGGGTACAAATGGTGTACATCTGTAATCCCAGCAACTCAGGAGTCTAAGGCAGAAAGATTGCAAATTTGAGGCCAGGTTAAGCCATTTAGTGAACCCTGTCTCAAGGGAGAGAAAGAGAAAGAAAAAAAAAAAAAAAAGCTAGGAATATAATTCAAGTAGTGGAGCATTCCTGGTTTCAATCCCCTGTACCACAAAAAATTAATAAAAAAAAAAAAAGATGGTAATTCTGATGCTTATGTACTGCATAAGAATCACATTCTGAAACACCCAGTTGTACAATTTTGCTACTACCATAGTTCTGATCTTTTTAAAACCTTTCTACCCCTCCTTTCTAATTCTTAATAATCTGGGAATCTCAGGACATGCACATATCAGAAAACAAGTAAATGTAACAAAATAACCAGAAGATGCAACATATACTTAAATTTAGTTTCAAGCTACAAGGTCATTCAATCAGTCTAAAAGAGACATTAGTTAACAACAGCTCATCTTAGATTTAACAGGAGAGAGTATACTTGGAATTGACACTACTCACCTTTAGGACAGAAGCTAAGCTGGTCATGTGCTCGTTGAGGGCACCCTCAGACTCCTTATATGTCAAGCAAGTAAACTGGTACTCCTCAGGATCAAAGGCATCAGCGCCTTGCTGTTCCACGTCGCTGGCTACTCCCACATAATAATCCTCTATGTCCCCAGGGTCCTCTTCCTCTTCCTCCTCCTCCTCCTCACAATTTGGGTCATAGTCCTCTTCATTGCTGTCAGACCCCTGGCTATTCATGTCCACAGACATCTTAGCATCCAGTCAAGTTGCAGATCAGGAAAGGAGTTGCTTTCTCTCCCTCCCCCCAAACTTTACCGCTTTCTCAAATGCATTAGTGTTTTTGTCTTCTAAAAAAGGAAAAAAAGAAATATTACTTTCCCCATGAGAAATTATAACAAAAACCATTAAAAAATCAAAATGCCATAGCTTTGGCCCTATGCCCAATATGGCATATTCTAACTTAAGTTTCACATGAGGACTCTTTACCATCATCTCCCTGACTCAAACTTATCAAAGGGAAACCCTCCCTCTAGAAGCAAAAGAAGCTGTTAATGAAACTACAAGGAGGGCCTGGCACAAAAGGGCAGGGCTTTCTATCCCATATCAGGAAGTCAAATTCTAATGGAATTGCCCTTCTTGCCAAAGACCTTAAAGAAGCAGCATATTCTTTCAGCTGATTGCATAAAGAGATAATCTAAAGGTTTAGCTATCAAAGTTTAAAATTTTGCTAAGCATGTCCCAGTGAATGGTGGCACAGATAGTACGTAATTAGGGAGACAGTTCCTTCCTGGTATAATATAAGGGAAAGAAAATATTTTTTCACAGACATCCATCTCAGATGACTGGAAAATAGGTGCACAGTTAGAAAAGAAAAATAAACAGGACATAGTAGCACACACCTGCAAACCCAGGGACGGAGGAAGCTGAGGCATAAGAATATCAAGTTCAAAGACAGCCTCAGCAACTTCCCAAGGCCCTGTCTCAAAATAAAAAAAAAAGGGTTGGGGATGTGACTCAATGGTTAACCACCCCTGGGTTCAATCCCTGGTTAAAAAAAAATAAAAAGAAAAATAAAAACCACATAGCTCTTCAGCTCTGCTGAGTGACTGGGACTGTGGCTCAGTGACAGAGCGCTTGCCTTGCATATGAGGCACTGGGTTCGATCCTTAGAATCATATAAAAATAAATAAAGTAAAGATACTGTGTCCATCTACAACTAAAAAATTATTAAAAAAAAAAAAAAAGAGGGCTGGGGATGTGGCTCAAGCAGTAGCGCGCTCGCCTGGCATGTGTGTGCCCAGGGTTCGATCCTTAGCACCACATACAAACAAAGATGTTGTGTCCGCCGAAAACTAAAAAAAAATAAAATAAAATATTAAAAATTAAAAAAAAAAAAAAAGAGTTCTGTGAGTAGCCAGATGTGGTCACACACACCTATAACCTAAGCTACTCCAGAGGATGAAGCAGGAGGATCATAAGTTTGAGGCCAGCCTCAGCAATTTAAAGAGGCCCTCAGCAACTTTGCAAGACCATCTCAAACAAAACAAGAGTCTGCTGAAGGGCTGGGGATGTAGCTCAAGCAGTAGTGCGCTAGCCTGGCATGCGTGCGACCTGGGTTCGATCCTCAGCACCACATACAAACAAAGATGTTGTGTCTGCTGAAAACTAAAAAAAATAAATAAATATTAAAAAGTTCTCTCTCAAAAAAAAAAAAAAAGCAGTGTGGAAAAAAAAAGAGTCTGCTGAAGCTTTAAAGAGGTACTGAGAAAGAAAAGTAAGTGATTCAATAGTGAAGAAAAAACTGCACATATTCTGCCTAGCAGGATCAAGGTTAGGAAAAATCATAATCTATATTGGATGAAGAAATAAGAGTTTAAATCCAACCAGCTATTGAAAAATCTTCACAGATCAAAATGTTACTCAGTTATATGTAAATGAAAAAAGAACACTAGTTGAGAAAGCAAATCAGTCACAAATGTTAACTTCTACTCAAGGAAATACAAACTTCTCTCCATAAATATTTTTCTTTTTTTTAAATACCTATTTTTTTTAGTTGTCAATAAGCCCTTATTTTAATTATTTATATGCAGTGCTGATAATCGAACCCAGCCCAACAAATACTATTTCAAGTGATGACTTTCAACAAAAAAAAAAATCAACTAGTGTTTAGATTTAAAAATGGAGAGAGGGGGTTGGGGATATGGCTCAAGCGGTAGCGCGCTCGCCTGGCATGCGTGCAGCCTGGGTTCGATCCTCAGCACCACATACAAAGATGTTGTGTCTGCCGAAAACTAAAAAATAAATATTAAAAAAATTCTCTCTCTCTCTTTCACTCTTTCTAAAAAAAAAAAAAAAAAATGGAGAGAGGAGGGGAGGTAGTAAAAAAAACAAATCAAGCCAGGCACAGTCAGTCTTGCATGCCTATAATGCCAGCAATTTGGGAAGCTGAGGCAGAATGATTCCAAGGCAAGCCTGGACAATTTAGCAAGACCTTGTCCCAAAATGAAAAGTAAAAACGACTGGGAAAAGCTGGAAATGAAGCTCAGTGGTAGAGCATCTGCCTAGCACACATGAGGTAGTACGTTTAAATCCTAACATACACCACCAAAACAAGCAAACAAATAAATAAATAGGCTCATGGTGGGGCCCCAAGCACTGAAATGGAGCAAATAAAATTCCATGCATGGGGCTGGGGATATAGTTCAGTTAGTACAGTGCTTATTTCACATGCACAAAGTCCTGAATCAATCCCCAGTACCACAAAAAAAAAAAAAAAAAATCCATGCAAGAATGTTTTTTTTCAAAATGAACCTTGCAATTATGAATAATTATAATACACTAATAAAAGTACCACTTTAAAAAAAATAAAAGAAAAAATACACACAGGGCAGCAAAATGATGTTTGCAGTTCAGCTTTTAACAAATTTTGTAGAATCTCCTAATTACAACTGAACTTATAAATGGTATTTTTTTTCCTCTGCAATAATGTTAATCTTTAATTTAAAAATACCTGTAATTTCTGAAGACCCTTCAGGCAGCTGTCACCCAAATATTTTGTCATATGATTTCCATCTAAAATGAAAACACAGAATATTTATATTTTTAAAACTAGTACCTGCTTTTACAAATTTATTTTTTCAAAAGCAAAGATTTAAAAAGACAAGTATAGGCTGGGGATATAGCTCAGTGGTAGAGCATTTACTATCAAGTATGAGGCCCTGAGTTCAATCCCCAGCACCATAAAATAAATGAACAGAAAAAAACAAGGGACCAGAGAAACTACTATCTTCTTTTAGGTTCCCCCCAAAAAACTCATATATCAAACTTACAAGAATTACATTATCTTCTAAAAACAGAAAGCATTCAAAGCTAACAGTGTTATAATTTAACTTGGGGTACTAGTGATAGAAATGCTTCCCAATTCCCCTCCCCCAGTTTGAAACCCTACTTCCTTATTTCTGTACTCCAATCTTCACAGTCCCTATCTTTTTTTTTAGTATTTGGCGGACACAAAATCTTTGTTTGTATGTGGTGCTGAGGATCGAACCCGGGCCGCACGCATGCGCTACCGCTTGAGCCACATCCCCAGCCCTTAAATATCACTATTTCAATTCCGAATGTTACACAGAGGTTGACAAAAAAATATGTAACTGACTTGGACTACTACAAAGTTACCATTGCTGTGCTAATTAACACAGAATACTGGTAATATTTCAGACCTCACTTTACTCATGAAAAAGTTAATACTCAAATAAAAATGTGCCCAATAGGACACCCACCCAATAAGCAATATTAATATCCATCTCCCATTTCTCTTCTGACTTACTCCTCCTGGGACATCTGGCTTTCTTAAGAGACTAGTAAGTACTACCTGCTTATTCAATAACAAATTTAATGTCAGTTGCTTTTATTCTTTAGATTTTCATGAAAAGGGGTTGGGATTGTGGCTCAGTGGGAGAGTGCTTGCCTAGCAAGTGTGAGGCACTGAGTTTGATTCTCAGTGAATAAAATAAAGGTCCATGAACATCTTAAAAAAAAGAAAGAAAAAAAATTCGTAAAAAAACAGGTTTATAACTTCCAGAGAAATACTTCAGATATAGAAAGGAAAATATAAGCTAAGTGAAAAATCTAAGTCTGAACAATAACTGTAGATTATTTTCAAAATAATGAAAACTGGGCATAGTGGATCACACATATAATCCCAGCAATTTAGGAGGTAGAAGCAGGATGGCCAAGTTCAAGGCCAACTTCAGCAGTATAGTGAGCAAGATCCTCTCTCAAAATAAAAACTGCTGGAGAAGTAGCTCAGTGGTAAAGTGCCCCTGGATTCAATACCCAGTATGGGGAGGGGGTGGGGAAGAATGGAGGAATTGATTTTTCAAAGCATCTTTATCTATATTTTTACATAAGATATTACTTATTGGGCAAGTTTAATGTGAATATTGCTACCATTTACAAGAAAAAAATCATTATTACCAATAGGTGATGGTGGCACATGTCTATCATCCCAGCAATTCAGGAGATGAGGCAGGAAATCACAAGTCTAAGACCAACCTCAGCAATTTAGCAAGGCCCTAAGCAACTTAGAGAGACCGTGTCTGAAAATAAAAAATAAAAAGGGCTGGGAATGTAGCTCAGTGGTTAAGCGTTCCTGGGTTAAATCCCCAATACTAAAAACAAAACAAACACACAAAAAAACCCAAAACAACAGGTCTCATTAGCTGGGCATGGTAGTGCATGCAGGTAATCCTAGTGAGGCTGAGTCAGGAGGTGTGAAAGTTCAAGCCAGCCTCAGCAATTTATGGAGACCCTCTCAAAAAATTATTGTAGCCAGGAGCAGTGGTACATGCCTGTACCCAACGGCTTGGGAGGCTGAGGCAGGATTACAAATTCAAAGCCAGTCTCAGTAGTACATGCCTGTACCCAGAGGCTTGGAAAGCTGAGGCAGGAGGATTACAAATTCAAAGCCAGTCTCAGCAACTTAGTGAGGCCCTAAACAACTCAGTGAGACCCTGACTAAAATATTTTAAAAGGGCTGGGGATGTGGCTCAGTGGTTAAGTGGCCCTGGTTTCGATCTCCAGTACCAATCAATGTGTGTGTGTGTGTGTGTGTTTATGTGTGTGAGTGTAAGGCTGGGGGTAGCTCAGTGGTAGAGCACCCCTGAGTTCAACCCTGTCAAAAATGATAACAGATCTCATTTAAGAACAGCCTTAATCTTCATAATCCTATAAAGTGGCTTTTTTTTTTTGGAACTGGGATTGACCCAGAGGTATTCAACCCCTGAGCCACATCTCAGCCCTTTTTATTTGTGGCCTCGCTTATTTGCTGAGGCTGGCCTTGACCTTGCAACCCTCCTGCCTCAGCCTACTGAGTTGCTGAGATTATAGGCATGTACCACCATTCCAGCCAAAATGATTATTTTCCCCTTCCTACCAATGAGTATGCTACAGTCTATAAAGGTTAAGTAATTTACTTGCCCAGGATCACACCACTGACAAAAAGCAGAACACAACATCAGTATACCATTAGACCCATGGTCTATGGGGATTCATAACTAGCTATCACCTTCCCACAGAGCCCAATAGAAAGCTACAGGAAGAGCCTCTGGGATAACACCAACAAAAGAATGTGCTTTCAAATTTTTTTGATTTATCCTCAAGATCTGTGCTTAAGAGGTTGACCAGAGGCTTCTTATCAACCAAATATTCAAGAATTGTGGGGAAAAAAGAACTCTAATTCTACTTTGTGGGTATTCTAGGTCCAGATTTAAATTAAAAGTTGGCCAATTGGAGTGGCACATGCCTGTGATCCCAGCGTCTTGGGTGGCTGAGGCAGGAGAATTGCAAGTTCAAGGCCAATATGGGCAGCTTAGCAGATCCTATCCTAAAATAAAAAATAAAAAAGGTTGAGAAAATAACTTGGTAATAGAGAATCCCTGGATTCAATCTCCATACTGTCAAAAAAGTAAATAATAATTAATTTTTATTATTTTCATGCTGGGCACAGTGGCGCACACCTGAAATCCCAGGGGCTCAAGAGGCTGAGACAGGAGGATCAAAGCCAGCCTCAGCAACTTAGTGAGGCACTAAGCAACTCAGTGAGATCCTGTCTCTAAATAAAACACAAAAAATAAGGTTGGGGATGTAGCTCAGCGGTTGAGTGCCCTGAGTTAAATTCCCAGTGCCAAAAAACAAAAACAAATTTTATTTTTTTCGAAGTTCATTATCAGTGCTGACCCTGCTCAAAGAGGTCAGTATTCCACCCCCATACTGGGGATTGAACCCATGGTGGTCTACCACTGAGCTATATCTCCTGTCCTCTCCATTTTTCATTTTGAGATAGTGTTTCACTCAATTGCAGAGGCATATCTCCAACTTGTGTTCCTGCCTCAACCTCCCCAATAGCTGGGATAATAGGTGTACATCACTGTACCTGCCTTATTATTCCCTTCATAACAAAACTGATGGCAATGCTTCGATTTCATTTGGATGTTAAATATGGAGTAATTAAAACCATTTTCTCCCATCCAAAGTCATATTTTAATCGATCTGCCACCCACCCTAGGCTCACTCACCAGGCCTGGTCACACAAGGAAAAGCGTCCAAACTGAAGATTTCTCAAAGTTCACAATAACAAAAAGACGTTTGGCAAGCCTGACGGACGTTTACTTTAGAAATTATCTAGCACAAGTCATTACTAACAACATTTCCAAAGAAAACAGTTTTGGCACAAAAATATGAACAAGGAACTTAGTTTCAAAACTCTTCATTCCATCTGTCCTGTCTCATAAGGTAGTCCGGTTTTTCAAACTTAACTTAAAAGGTAAAATGTAAAGTTTAGTTTCCCAGTCTAACCGGCCACATACCAAACATTCAATGGCCACGTGTGACTAGTTGCTACCATACTGAACAGCAAATGTACAGAACATATCCATTGTGACAGAAAGTTCTATGGGACCTAATAACAATCAATACTAAGGCGAAGTCATAAAACACGGTTCCCTCTCTCGAGAGTAACCCAGCAGCCTCAGGCAAGGTGGAGACGTAATTCCTAGTTGTATATTATTCCAGAGGTGCGGTCAACTGGACACCCGCACGGACAACGAGTTCACGCGCTGGCGGGAGACCCTTCAGAGAACAGGCGTTAACAAACCGCGCGGACACCCCTACCAAAACTCCCAAAAATGACTCGAGTGGAGAGCCTCGGAGCGCCTGGCTGAGAGCGCCCAGACGTGCCAGCGCCTGCCGCTCAGAGGCGCTGGCCTCCGATCTCTCTGCGACTTGAAAAAGCTGCATGAGAAGGAAAGCCAGAGAAACTCTGGCTCACCGGCCCTTGCCGTCCCTCTCAGGCGGCAGAGACCCTGGAACCACGTACGGTAGGCTGTGGGCGCCGGGGGCCTCGAAGGCGGCGGTGAAGGCGGAGCCCTGCCCGGTCCGGGAGGCGCGCGAAACACTCCACCCCCCCCCACACACACACACACCCCGGCTAGTCAGGGTAAACAAGGCCTCAACTCAAGTCGCGCACTTACCTGGAGCCGCGTGTTCGCGGATGCAGAGCACAAGCGGGCCAGACCAGGTCAGGCGGACCACACGAACAGACTGAGGTGCAAGTTGCAGCGGAAGCTGCGGGCCGACGCCGGTCCGGCCCGCGCAGCTTCCTCTGGCGGAGTCGTCCCCGCAGCTCCGGAAGTATTCAGTGCACTGGCGTCACTTCCGGTCGGGGTCGCCGCGCGGTCGCCCGGGTAGCTACGCCCGGCAGGCAAGGGTTCCCCCAGGGGCTGCTTTCTTGTAAACTTGCTTTTTACTGGAGTGGGGTCAAGATACCGCTACACTGCCCACTGCCCAGAAGTTCGAAAAGATGGTCGAGATATTTTTTAAATCATCGCTTTTTCTTTCTTAATTTTTTAATAGTTGTAGATAGATGGACATCATGCCTTTATTTGTTTTTTTTAATAACTTGTAGTTGAACGCAAACCTTTATTTTTCACTTATTTGTTTTTATGTGGTGCTGAGGATCGAACCCAGGGCCTTGCAAGTGCTAGCTACAACCCCATCCCTTATCCATCGTCCATCGGTTTTTTTTTTTTTTTTTTTTTTTTTTGGACTACCTGCTGATTCCACTGTTTATTCTCACACTTTGGTATCCATAGCGTGGATAAAAGATCATTGGTTTCCCAGCAGCTCTCTGACCGGAGGGGAGCTGAACAGACAGGGGGAGCTGTCTTTTCTCCAAAGAAGTTTGCTAGGTGGCCTGCGAGCTGCAATGCAGCTGCAGGCTTCAGCTTTCCCGCCATGAATGGGTTATGCAGTTTTCCGGCTTCCACTCGCTGTATAAGATTGCAGTTTACCGGGTGCGCACGCCTGTAATCCCAGCGGCTAGGGAGGCTGAGTCAGAAGGATCAAGAGTTCAAAGCCAGCCTCAGCAAAGGCTGAGATGGTAAGCATCTCAGTGAGATCCTGTCTCGAAATAAAATACGAAATAGAGCTGGGGATGTGACTCAGTGGTCGAGTGCCCCCTGCGTTCAATCCCCGGTATCCAAAAATAAAATTAAATAAATGCATCTTAACTGCTTTGCTGCTCAATTTATTCTCACACTTCTTAATTGCCATTAGGACTTCCATTACCTTCTAGGACTGGATTGCAAATGTTGATAGGTAGGACCAAGTCTTCCTCAAGTTGCTGCTCCAGCACATTGGAAATGCCAGAGTAAAACCTATGATGTTAGCGTGCCTCCTGGCAGTACAGGTCCACAGATAACAACAAAAGCCTTTCTACCCATACTGAAGTCCCTTGTATACTAATAGTCAAGATACCTATGCCTAACAGGCTTTCTTAGGTAGTTCCTGTAAGAAACACATGATTTTCAGCTTCCAAATAATTCAAAGATCATGTACATAAATCAGGTATAATCAAGTATTAAAAAGACTCAAATTAATTAAAGTGAAAATTAATACTAATGAGTGATATGTTGTAAGATTATGAGTTTTGTATATTAGCAACACAAAGATCTACATACATCCAGTGTACTTGTTTCATTTTGTTGTGACAAAACATATTCATGTAAATTATTATGGTACTAGCAAAAGACCCAAAATACATTTTCTGCAAATGAAATTTCAAATATCATTTTGTGTTACTAGTATTAAGTTTACTCCATTGAGTAGAAGAGGACATTAAGTCTTTTTGATCTAATCCAGGGATTTGCAAATGCTAGCCAGCGTTTTGCTGAACTACATCCCAGCCCACATTCAGTCTTTTTCTAAAGAATTCCTGAACAGGGCTGGGACTGTTGCTCAGTGGTTGAGCAGTTGCCTAGCACATATGAGGCACTGGGTTCAATCCTCAGCACCACATAAAAATAAATAAAAGCCAGGCACAGTGATGAACACTGGATTACTCCCAGCAGCTCTAGAGGCTGAAGCAGGAGGATGGCGAGAGTTCAAAACTAGCCTCAGCAAAAGCAAGGCACTAAGCAACTCAGTAAGACTCTTTCTCTAATAAAATACAAAATAGGACTGGGGATGTGGCTCAGTGGTCGACTACTCCTGAATTCAATCCCCAGTACCCAAATAAATAAATAAAGTGTCCATCTACAACTAAAAAAAAAAAAAAAAAGAATTCCTGAACTTCCAGGTATGGTGGCACCTGTGATCCCAGCTACTGGGGAAGTTGAGGCAGGAAGATCTCAAGTTCAAGGCCAGCCTCAGCAATTTAGCAAGACTCTGTCTCAAAACAAAATAAAATGAGATATAAAGGGTTGGGGATTGCTGTGGTTTGGATGTGAGGTGTCCCCAAAAAATTCATGTGTAAGATAATGCAAGAAGGTTTAGAGGAGATATGAATTAATCACCTGATGGGATTAACTGAATGGCAATTGAAGGCAGGGGGCTGTGACTGGGGCATTGGGGTCAAAGTTTTGGGGTATATATTTGTATTTGGAAAATGGAAATACCTCTCTCTCTCTCTCTCTCTCTCTCTCTCTCTCCCTCCTTCTGCTTACTTATCATGATGTGAGCCACTCTTCTCTACCATACTCTTCTGCCATGATGCTCTGCCTCACCTCAAGCACTGAGGAATGGAGTCAGCTGTCTATGGACTGAGAACTCTGAAACAATCAGCCCTCAAATAAACTTTTTCTCCTCTACAATTGTTCTGGTAAGGGTCTTTTAGTTACAACCGTGAAAAAGTTGACTAAAACAGAATATAGCTCAGTGGTAAGGTACCCTTGGTACCTTAGCAATTCCCAGCACCAAAAAGAAAACAAAAAATTCCGCATTTGCAAAATACAGAATGAAGATGCTAAGTATCAAGTGCATACATATACAGAATATTGGAATCCTATGTACAGTCTTTCCACAGTACTTGCAGGAGTGGAGGGTTGAAATTGCATCTAGGACATGGTACCAAAATCTAAGGATGCTTGAGTCTATTATATAAAATGGCACAGTATTTATATATGCACATATACATTTATTCACATTCTCCCATATACTTTGGATTGCTTAGAATACCTAATTCAATTAAAATGATATATAAACAGTTTTTATACCCTTGCTTAGGAAAAAAGTTTGTATAGACATAATGGGGGGGGTTGATATTTTGGGTCTGCAGTTGAATCAGATGTGGATAAGGTACAGAACACCAAGAGGTGGGGATATAGCTCAATAGTAAAGTACTCCTGGGTTCACTCCCCAGTGCCACACAAAGAAAATACAGTGAAGAAAGCTGTTAAAAATTATGTTGTTCTGCAGGGTGTGGTGCATACACCTGTAACCCCAGTGACTCAGGAGGCTGAGACAAGAGAATTACAGTTCAAAGCCAGCTTCAGCAATAGCGAGGCACTAAGAAATTCAGTAAGACCCTATCTCTAATAAAAATACAAAGTAGGGGTGGGATGTGGCTCAGTGGTCGAATGTCCCTGAGTTCAATCCCGGTGCCAAAAAAAAAAAATATTGTTCTGGCCTGAGGGTATAACTCAATGGTATAGAGTGTGTGCTTAGCACTTGTGAGGCTCTGGATTTAATCATCAGCATCACCAAACAAAAAGCTGTTCTGAGGCAATTTATTGGCATGGAAAGATGTTTGCAAAATACTCTTTAAGTGATAAGAATAGGATACAAAGCCATTTGTAAGAAACTCCATTTTCAAAATACAAATGCATATAAAATGAATAAATATAAGCAGACATTGTGGCATACACCTGTAATCCCAGTGACTCAGAAGCCTGAGGCAGGAGGATTGCAAGTTCAAAGACAGCCACAGCAATTTAGTGAGGCCCTAAGCAACCAAAGTGAGAACCTGTCTCAAAATTTAAAAAAGGGCTGGGATGTAGCTCCATGACAAAGTGTCCCTGGATTCAATCCCAGGTACCAGAAAGGAAGAAAGAAGAAGAAAAGAAAGTCTCTCGTGGTTTCTTCTTTTTTAAATTTTTTTTTTAGTTGTAGATGGACAAAATATCTTTATTTATTTGTATGCCATGCTGAGGATTGAACCCAGTGCCTCACACTTGCTAGGCAAGTGCTCTACCACTGAGCTACAACCCCAGCCCTCTCATCGTTTCTTTTGAACAATAATCCAGACAGGCCACAATGGAGATGGTTTATCTCAGCTATACCAAGTCTGGATCCTCATCAAGAATACTCTGGGGGGCTGGGGATGTGGCTCAAGCGGTAGCGCGCTCGCCTGGCACGCGTGCGGCCCAGGTTCGATCCTCAGCACCACATATAAAGATGTTGTGTCTGCCAATAACTAAAAGAAATAAATGTTTAAAAAAAAAAAAAAAAAAGAATACTCTGGGGGGAGGGGGGATAGTAGAGCATAGGAAAGGTAGCAGAATACAACAGTTACTAATATGGCATTATGTAAAAATGTGGATGTGTAATTGATGTGATTCTGCAATCTGTATTTGGGGTAAAAATGGGAGTTCATAACCCACTTGAATCGAATGTATGAAAAATTATATGTCAAGAGTTTTGTAATGTTTTGAATAACCAATAAAAAAACTGTGAAAATAATAAAAACCTGAAATTTTACATTAAAAATAATCCAAACCATAAAAAAAAAAAAAAAGAATACTCTGGGTGTGGACTGGAGTCATAGGGAGGGTTGTTTATTCATCTATCGGTGGTCTATGGTGACTGTCATCTAGGGTTCTCACTGGAATTGTCAGGCAGAATATATATGCATATAATCTCTCTATGTGGCCTTTGCTTCCTGATAACAGTAATGACATCCAAGGACAATTGTCTTGAGAAAGCCAAGCCCAGGTATGGTGATGTGTGTCTGTAAATCCCCGTGGTTTGGGAGGCTGAGAAGGGAGGATTGCAAGTTCAAGGGAGGATTGCAAGTTCAAGGCCAACCTCCTAAGGGAGGCCCTGAGCAATATAGCAAGACCCTGTCTCAAAAATATAAAAAGAGCTGAGGATGTGGCTCAGTAGCTAAGTGCCCTGGGTTCAATTGCTGGTACCCCCCCCCAAAAAAAAGGGTTGCTGATGTATCTCAGCAGTAAATTGCCCTTAGATTAAATTTCCAGTACTCCTCCCCCCCAAGAAAACTGAAAGCCAGGTAGGAACTATTTTGACTTTTTGACCTAGCCTTCAAAATCACAAAGCATTATTTCTGTCATATACCAATGATAGAGTTTACAAGAGTCCCTTTGGTTCATGGAATAAATGTAGCCCAACCTT